TGCTTCTTGCTTTCTGCCTGTTGCTTCTTGTTTCTTGCTTTTTGCTTGTTGCTTTCTCTTTCTTGCTTCTTACTTTTTGCTGTCAGCCTTTTTGCTTCCTGTCTCTTGCTGCCTGCGATCTCCTGAGTGCTAACCGCTTTCTGATTTTAGCTTCCTGTTTCTCGTTGACTACGTTCAGCCTCACAAAACGCTGCTACTTGCGATTGTTGCTTTTTGCTTCTTGCTTCTTCCTTTCTGTTTAGTACCTGTCGTTTTCCATCATGTGTCAGGATGTTTCATCATGTTCAACATTTTGATATTTCCCATTATCATTCAGCAGTTGCCACAACTTTCAGCATTTGCATAAATTTTCAACAACCTTCATGACTGTTAATCAATTTTATTTGTTTTGATCGTTCTCCATCCTGCTTGAGTTGTTTCCATACTCTTCATGGGTTTTCATAGTCTTTGCCAGCTTTCAGTAGCTACCACCATCTTTCATCATCTTTATCCTTGTTGTTTGCGGGGGGGGGCATGCGTCCCCCCCAACCCCCCGCCTTTCTGAAAGCCTTCCATGCTTGCCGTAACAAAGAAGCATCATGTCATCACCACGATTGCAGCAAGGGATGCTTATACAGATCATTTTGTTTGCCACTGGGGGGGCTGCGAACCTCCCTGCCTTTTTCAAGGCCGTCCATGCGTGACCACTGTTCGTCATTTTAGATTGTTGCATGATTTTTCGTCGTTGTTGTCAGAATGTCTCAGCATAGGCATCATGTTTCATCATTTGCCATCATCTTTCAGCAATTTCCAGGATTTGCTATATTGTTTGAATGATTTCATGATGTTTCACCATCTCATGGCTTATGATTTTTCATCATATGTCATCATGTTTCGTGATGCTTCACCATCTTGATGGTTTCTTATGATTTTCATCATATTTCATAAAATCACATAATATCTGTCAAACGTCATATTTTCCACCTTTCTAAATCAAATTTCATCATTTTCATCATATTTTTGAATTTTTCATTTTCCATCATATTTCATCATTTTATCATTTTCATCATGTTTCATCACATTTCATAATTTTTCGTAATGCTTCATCATTTTCATGATTATTATCATATTTCATTAAATGTCATAAGTTTCCCACCCTTCATAGTTTTGAAATTGTTTGCAGATTCCATCATTTTCATGATATTTCATCGTGTTGTATCATTTTTCAGCGAAAAATCGAGCTTTGGCCTGAGACTTTCTAAAAAAGCAAGACAAACAAACAATCAAACACAACACAACATCCTAAATTAATTTGCAGACTTGTATTTAAATGAACCTTCCCAGGTTGGTCATGCATCCAACAAAGCGGCTCCCAAAGACGTGCGCATGGCTCAGAAAAGTGCATTCAGGCATGCAGTGGATTCCAGTTCTGCATTCTCATGACGTGTTCCGATTGGAAGGAGAGGCCATGAATGGTACGGAAGTGATGATAGTAAATGGCGCATGTGTTGTGTGTCCCAGTTCTGGTACGGCTTAGTGTGTCCAATTTTGCCTGTTCGCTGATCGCCGTTCTCGTTTTGTACCATAGGCCATCCACGTTCTTGATGTGGGACCACATGCTATTCGCGCATTTTCGGTGGCTTCCCCACCTTCGCATTGCAGTGGCCTTCGTTGTGTGAACATGATCCATTTTTGAAGTTACCGGTCTAAGTTGGGTTCTGCAAGTACCGTTGCAACTCTGTTTTGCAGCCTTCCGTTCTTCCCGAAGCTACAAGCAGAACCCGTCGCTAGGTTTAGTTTTGTTCTCGAAGTTGCTGATACTAAGCGGCGACGGGTAACGGACCCGGACTTTTCTGAACTTGGCGTGCATGACGTAGCTAGCCTTATGCACTTCTTGGCAATTGGGATGCTTGGTTGCCATTTTCATTACACGGCACATGGTGACTTCGTAGGTGAATCTGCACATGTCACATGCATTTTGTTTTTTCATGAACTCGCTCGGTGACCCACTGAGGATCTATCTTTAGGCAAGACTCAGACAGTTCGAACATGGAGCTCTCAAACCGTCCCCTTGGGGATAAAGGCGACAACAATTTTTCAATCATCATAGCGCTCTCATCCAAATCGGGTTTGGAAGGAATGGATTGATGATATGCTTGCATAGTTCAGTCTCAACTCTTAAGCCTGGATTTGGGATAAGGCTGCCAAAGCCGGTCAGGTCCAAGCTGATGCAGGCCATGCTGCCGTGAATACGCAGCGGCAACTCAGTGAAGAAATCCGTGCGAGAGGACTCTGGGTGTACCGACGCCGTGGGTCCGCGCGACGAGCATGAACTTATAGAGGTCTGTTCATGATGGCTTCTATTACCAGCTCTGGGGCGGATATTATGGTGCTTGCATAAGTGGCAAGGGTGTGCATTTATTGCGAGGCTGCTTTGGAACAAATTTGATTACAAGATCGAACGTCGCCTCTGCAACAGGCAAACTTGAGAGCGAGACTGCAGCGCACCATCAAAGCCTCCAAAGAGCGAGTGCAGGCGATGCAGAGGTGTCTGCGCAGCCTTTGCGGTTTGTGGTGTCATGCTACGTGTAGCGCATGCGTCAGATCTGGCTTGAACCAACAGGCGTGTGGAGCGCGAAGAGCAGCAGGTCAGAAGTCGCTTCGAGGCAGAGTCTCATCTTCTCCGCCAGCTGAGTGAATCTGTCGTCAGATGCCAGGTTGCCATGCAGACCCGAGAGGGGCTGGAGCGTAGCATCAAGGCAAGACTCTGGTGGGCTTGCTTGCATGAAAGCCAGCTGACCATTTGCATAGCTCCAGGCTGCGCTCAAGGAGCACAGTCTGGCAAAAGTGCGAGTTGCTGAGCTGGAGGAGATAACCGCAGCTACCAACAGCTGCCAGGACTGTTCTGTTGCTTTTCTGTGATTTGTTTGTTGAGGAGGCGGTTGGTATCGACGCGGCTCGCTGTCGAGCAAAGGAGAAGGCCTCTCGGCAAGACCTTGCCGATTCGCAACACATGTTCAATTTCGATCCAGCATCACAGGCCACGGTGTCAGTAGGAGAGTTGAGTAGATTTCTGGTCAGAAGTGAACGGCATTGAGTAGTGATTAGTGATTGTGCCAGGAGCATGAGCAGCTGGTTGGAAAACAGGCGAGACTCCGCAATGAGCTGAAGGCTCGCTTGGTGGCTGCCGTTGCATCCACAGTTTGATTGTTGATTTTTTTTTCGGTCCGGAGAAGTGTTGAGTCGTGAGCCTTTTGCTGCTCTCAGACCGGGATGTGCTTGAAGTTCATCAATTACACTGGATGACGCTTCAGCATTGATCTGCGTTTGCAACTGGGAACAGGCTCAGCGGAGCAGAGTCTTGCAGCACCAGAAATGTGAGCGCCGAATCCAGGAGAGAAAGCTTGCAATCCTGTTTTTTTGCCCGATCATCTGTGTCGTTCTGATGCTTCGATGCTTCTGCTTTACCAGTGCAGGATCTGCAGCGAGAGCTGGAGGCGTTGACCAAGGCTTGCCATACTGAGAGTCCACGGTGGGCTCTGTGACTGTACAGTGCTGAGCCAGGTGCTAATTCAATGCATACAATTAGGGCTGTTGATTTCTGATGCAATGTACAGATCCTACAGGAGCTGCGCAGCTCAAATTCATTTAGAGTCTGCCGGGGGCATGCCCAGAATAAAAGAGGCCTGTCAACGCATTTCTTTGACGTTGTCAGGGGAAGCTTTGGGTTGGATACTTGTGTGCTCCCTGGCCTCCGGCACCAGCGTCAGCGTCTGCGGGCTACATGGAGCTGCGCAGCCATGGTAAAGTCGGGTGCCCAGGCTGTTTCCGAGCAGGTTTGAGAGCGGAGATTGAGGCATAAAATGATGTCTTCTTCGTTGCTCGCCTTTGGCTTGAAGCAAGCCGAGCTAGAAGCATGATGCACCCTCTGAGTACGGGCCATCAAGCCGCTTGACCGCCACGTGGGCCACACGGGTCGTGTGGCGCTGGCGCGCGGCCATGGCAGCTCATGTTCGGGATGTTCGGGACATTTGCATCTGGGTTGCATACAACTTTTCAATACCTAGTGCCGCCACGCATTTTCTAAGGCCCATCGCTTGATTCCACGAAGTCTCCAAACGATCGAAACAGCACTTCAGCTTAGAGTTCAAGTGCTCGCTTCATGGGTTGCTTCTGTACTGTGGGCATTCCGAGCATGTTGACAAGGCTATCGCCTCATCCGCTTGAACAATGGCATTGAAGCCTTGCTCATCTCCAACCTCGATGAACAGAAGCAAAAATCAGCATGTGCTTGCAGTGTGCAGGTCGTGGGCTTACTGACAATGCACTGACGTAGTGTTACAAGAACATCAAGAACATTTGAGAGCAAGTGGTTTTCAGTTGACATGCCTTTGGTTAATGATCCTTGGCTTGACCATAGGTGGGCTCTTTCAGCGATCCTGCTGGACGTTGTGAGGGGCTAGCGCACTACTGCAACTTGGACAGTGCGGTGCTGGACCGTACTAGAACATAATGCCTCATCGAAAGTGAGCAATCTAAGGCGAGCACATGATCTTCTTGGGAAGCAAGACGTACCCGGGTGAGGCACAATTTGAGGAGTTCCTGTCCGAGAACGGAGGCGAGTCCAATGCCTACACAGAGTGTGAGTACACATGCCGCTTGGTTGCAGCTTTCTTAGCAGTCTGAAAACGTGCGCGAAGAAACATTTGACTCGGCGCCAGGCCTTTACTTTGACGTTAACCGCAAGGCTGGAGTGCCCGACAAACCAGAATTAGTGTTTTGAAAAGGGCAGGTCGCAGACACCAAGCCTGAACGGCAGAGGCGTTGCACCATGCGCTCCACATGTTCGCAGAGCTCCTGCATGAGCCCCTCTTCACGCCAGATGCCTCTGCCAGAGAGCTTCAGGCAGAGTGTGGCCCACTCGTGAACGCAGGTTGCCATACAGCACTGTCAGGCTATCGAATCTGAATTCCAGAAGAAAAGAAGAAGTGCGCCTTTGCAGAACAATAGTGCGTTCAGGACTACTGAGACCCAGTGTCCTGACGGCATAGCTTAAACTCCTTTGAATTCGTTGAGCAGCGCTGATCGGAACTTCTTGAGGACCGTGTTCGTGCTGAGACTCTGTTCGCCAATTTCGCTGCAGAAGGCCATCCTTGGAGGCACGTGAGATTTCAGGACTAAAAGGAGCCTGAGAGCCCTTTGCCAAATCCTGAGATTGCGAATGAGGATTTTCGGCTGGGGCAACCTGCAGAGTCTCGATGTCGCTCCCAAAGCGCAGGCTCTCCTCTGGCAGTGTTCAAGACTTTGCTTTCGATTGGTCATCCCGCATCAGCTCTCAGGATGTTGACCTCCACGCAGAGCTTGGGGCATTCTTTCAACAGCACTACAAGGCCCTAGTGAATACATGCATCAACGAAAATTCGAAAATTTGGCATGCTCAGCATGCGATCGTGCAAGGCTAGCAGAATGCGGCTGAGTGTATTCGGGATCGAAAGTCTGGACTCTTTGCAGCTTGCTGTTGTCAATGCCTTCTCGACCATTTCGCCATCTCCGGATGTAGACGATTTGGACTTTGGGGCCTGTGGCCTTCTGGAAAGCAAGGCAAGGACGATGCCATGGATTGCTGAGACAAATTGGCAATGTTGCTCGTCTTGATGCAGGACTTGCCACGATTGGTGAGGGTGCGACCGATTTTTGATGGACATGTGCTCTGGATGAGTTGGCAGTTGCCTCATTTTTCATCCTGCCCTTCGGGACATGGTCCTTGCGGCATGTGTGAAGCGGGCACGCACGAAGACATCTACTGAGGCAGCTCCCTTCACATCTCAAGCATTATGACAGCAGCTGAGCTGATTCGGCATCTTCATACAGCTTTGCCATCGTTCATGCGAGCACGGAATGGCGTCTGCTTCAAGGTAAGCCAGAAAGCTATCTCAGCAGCCTCATAGGCACGAGACTCAGGCAGCTGTATGACACTTGTATGACATGTAGATTCCATTGCAGTCAGGTGATGAAGGACACGGCTCCATCTTGTCCTTCCTCAAAGATAAGGGTTGGGCCACAGCTCTGTCAGCAGGGGCCGGTGGCGACAACTTTACTCACAGCAGTCGATCGTCCAATTCAGTCAGTGTTGAATTTGCTGTTATATCAAGCTTGAAATCTGCAAGCAATTCTTTTGCAGAGATCCTTCTTCCTGCAGACGTTCTACTCTACAGGTAATTCGATGATCTTCACGGTTGAAGTAACGCTCACGGTGAATGGGCTTGCCAACTGGATGGAGGTAGCGGCGACTGTTTTCCAGTACCTGGAGATGCTGCGTCGGCATCTTCAGTTTAGCCTGGGCAAAGTTTTCCTCATACTGACAGCGAACGTCGAATCTACCCCATGCGAAGAAAAGCTTTTCACATCAACACAGCTCAGTTCTCAGCTCAGGTATCCTGAGGGTGGTCTACCTTCGTTCCTTTATGATGAACAACGGCAGATGGCAGAGTGCACGTTTAGATTTCAGCAAGAGAAGGCTGAGTTGTCCAGTACATTGATTGGCGAGGGTTGCTGACCCGCCCGAAAACGGCACAGGATCCTGGAGATTTGGTCATCGACTTGAGTGACACCTGGCTTCCCGTTCTTCTGCTTCTTTTTCAGGGGCTGTTCTTCATGGGTTTCACGATTAGCGGCAGGGCGGCAGGGGGCTTTGTGCACGTGTAATGTAATGGCATGGATGTCGTCAGTGTTGACTTGCACTTGAATTACCCCGGACTTGCGAGCTGCATAACGCAATCGGGTTTGTTGGACTTGATTTTTGTGCTGCGACTCTTACTCGTTGCGGCTTTGTCTCCTTGGGACAGCTTATCTTACAAGGCTTGGTGTGCCATTTGTTTCTCTTTGTCTGCTTCAAGCTTCTCCTCTTTTTCAAGGTTCTCAATCAAGTGCAAGCACTTCACACTTTCTGCATGCAGCAACTTCCCACTTCTCGTGCTTTCTTCTGCTAAGTGTGCACGTTGTCTTGGATCCTCAGTGGTCGGCGAGACTCGGAACGTCGGCTTCCAGCAAACACTTCAAGTTTTGTCGGCCTCGCTGAAGCAAGAAAATGAGGGATCATCTCCTGTGTCGAAGGGTGGCTTGGTCTGCACCAGCCAAGCAACGAAGACCCACAGAAAAATTGAGTGCAGGCATCATCCCTAGGATTCTCGTGTCCAAAGTAGACAAAGGCGAGAATGAACTCACCATGTCTTGCATCAAGCTCAGGAACGAATGCTTCCTTTTTTCCGGCATCAGCCCAATCACTTGTTGACGGCACCCTGGATTTACGCTGGCTTCAGGGAGGATCTAGTGAGGCCCTTCTCACAGCAACGGCGTTGTGCATGTCAGCCTTTTTTCGGGGCAAGGAAGCGTGCAAAACACACAGAAATGTAGTTGCTTGGGTGAATTGAAGGTCGATCCTGAGCATGCTTTCTGTACGCGGTTGTTTCATGATGCTGATGAGCAGCTCCTATGGCAGAGCAGGCCGAAATGCGGCAGTTGTTCTGAATCCTGCTCTTGCCTCGACCCTCATTGTGTCATTGTGCTTGTGAGGCGACCTGGATGCCCCTGAGCAAGGCCACACGGAAGGCGAAATCCAGCCCAAAGAGGCCCAGGCATGTGCTGGGCACACTGATCCGAGCTTTGGGGATGTTTCTGATCGTGTGCCGCGCGTCGAGCGACATTTTGGAACAGAGTACTGGGACTCTTGTCTTGACGCGGCACTATTAACCAGGTGGGAAGCTCTCGAGCCTTCGGCAAAGCTGCATGTTCCACCTCCCAACCCCTTTATTGCCACGGATTTCTCGATATTGCAGCAAGATGTGGACGACGAGGAGAAACTTTCTCTTCCAGCGTCAGGCTATGCAAGTTTCCCAGCTATTCAAAGGTTGCTGCCATCACCAAAGTGCCTCAGCTCAGGGTTTCCAGGCAAGGCACAGTTTGTCAGCTTGAAGCTGTGGAGAAGACTTTGCTGCTTGCCGTTTGCCCCTGAGAGGTCTGAAATTGTGGCACCTTCCTTGCGCAGAGCTCTTCAGGCAGCCTCGTAGCCAAGTCTCATTGAAGTTGCAGTCGCCGTACTATGCCCTTGATGCAGAGAACGTGCAGAAAGAGGTGCTGCTGGAACTTTACGCCTTGTGCTTTCATGACAGCCTGAATGAGATGCTCTATGCCGCGGGGAAGGCGAGACTGCATTGTACAATCAGCAGCTCTGCAAATCACGGTTTGACAATAAGGGCTGGGGGCTTCAACGAGAAGCTTCTTGACCTTGTCAAGGCAACATTGCCCAGTCGGAAACTTGAGGAGTACCTGTTGCAGCCAGACCGTTTCCAATCAATGCATGAGGCGTTATTGAGGAGCTACAAGAACCAGTGGTTGAAACCGCAGGTACATTGCTCAGATCTTCGCAAACTCCTGTTGATTCCATCGGTGCCACGGGCATCGCAGAAGGAGACTGAGCTATCTGCTTGTGGTTCTGGCGAGCTACTTGAATTCGCGCGGAATTTCAACCTCGTGCTGGGGTGCCAGCTGTTAGTGTCTGGAAACACATCGTCAAGCGACGTGACAACATGGGCGGAATCGGTCTTTGAGAATTATATTTTGGAACCTCAGAGAAAGGTGGATGTAGACGTGGTTCAGCTTCCTGTGGGGTCTGCAGCAGTTTGGCTGCAAACTGCAGTGGACTCTACTCAGTCGAACTCTGCGGTGGAGATATATTTTCAACTGCCAGGGCGAGATGCCTGGCACTGGCAGGAGGATGGCGGGCAACCAAGCAATTGAGCCGGCTGAAGTGATGCATGTCCACAGTTGATGTTTCATTTGATGTGAGCCCAAAGATGTATCCTACAGCGGTAGGATGCTTACTGTTCAGGGTTTGGAGTCCCGATGCCCAGAATCGTTGTGGGATCTGTGGTCGGGGCTTTCTTTGGCAGGACCGTGCACGGGTTAGAGTGCTGCTGGCTCTGCTGGAAGACGTCATGTACGAGAGCCTGTTTGACGAGTTGCGCACAAAGCAACAGCTCGGATACAGCGTCGGGTGCAGTATGCGAGAGACTTGCCCGAATAACCTCATTCTATGACAACAATTTTGCAGCTCTTGTGAACGGAATCTTGAGTCGGTCTCATAAGCCGTCCGCTGTACGTGCCAGCAAGGATTCTTTTGGGGTCCCAGGTCAGCCTCTGAGCTTCTTGTAAGCCACTTCTGTGTCCTCTCCACAGATGCGAATCTGCTTGTCGGAGGCTTCAGCATTTACGTTCTGAGCGCCGTGCAGCCGCCGCCTGTCCTGGTGGAACGTGTCATGCAATTCTTGCAGGACGGTCAGCAGCCAACTAAACATACGCGTTGGTGTTGTTCCTTTATTGCGAGACCTTGTTGGGCTGCTGCAAGTTAGATTACAGGACTTCGCGCAACAAATGCGGGCGTGGCCAACCAGCAAGCCACTAGGCTTGCATTTAGTCAGCAGAAGCCGGAACGTGGTGACTCACCGTACATTCTGATTTTGATCAACAAGGTTCGAAAGCCACATTGCAGGGCTGGCAGGTGCTGCACAGAGCAAGGGGAGCATTGAGTCCTATGATTGTGGAGATCTGTTATGTGACATATGAAGGCAGATGGCTGGAGCCGAAGCGGACACTTGGTGAGGCACATGCAGCCTCCTGGTCCGAGTGCCTCTGTTGGATAGCAATAAACTGCGCTGGACACGTTGAAATTTGGACAATGTTTGCATGTTGTGACCCAGTGAGTCCACTCATGTCTGCCTTGCAAGCTTAGGATAAGCTACGGTTTTCCTGTGTTTGAACGCTCTGAGCGTGAAGCCGCAATTCTGGGAAGTCTTGAGCTGCACCAGCTTTTAGATCTCTTTGAGATGCTTGACAGCAAAGTTGCTGGCTGTCAACCTGGCCTGCTCATTCAACTTTCCTGCTTGACAGTCTGCCCACATTTAAGGGCGCATGTGGCACCAGGCCTGGACTTGACTGCATCTGTGAAATTTTATGTCTCGTGGTCTCCGAATATGATGTTCAAGTGTGCTGGAGCATGTCTCCTCTGTATATCTCCGTATGCAGGTGGTTCTGGCAGGGCCTGCGCTATCACAGCAGTGGTGCCAGCAGCCGACGAGCTGCATGGACGCGCTCTTTCTGAGTCTATATCAAAATGGAAGTTGACAGTCTTGGCTGTGACTTGGGAGCATTTTGTTTGGATTCCTGTGCGTCGCATTTTGACCCTTCTAACATTGTATAGCCAGGTTACATCTGAGCGCGAGTTCCACGCACAGAGCCAGTTCCATCACCGAAGAGATGAAAGCGAGTGCAAAAAGCAGTCTCCAGCTTCCGCGCATGAACTGCGTTGCAAATCTGCTTGATGCACCGCATATGACTTCATTGTTTTTGCATCACTGCTTTCACCGTAAGGTTTGGCAAAACCCTGGAAAACTACAACGCGAACAACTGGCCAAAGTTTCAAGGCGCTTGGATCCAGTATGAGGCCTGGCTATATGCTCATGCAGCCTGTGCACCGTTGAGATGCACTGTGTTGGTCGTGCCTTCTGTGGCAGGAACTGAAAAAGGCCATTTATGTCTTCACCGGTCAGGATGGTAGTGCCGACTGATGCCTATCCAAATAGCCTCACGAAGCACATGCTCAGCAGATGTGAAGAGGTAGTTCCCGCCCCCTTTTTGCCAAGCGTGCGCATGGATCTAAGCGATGCAGGACAAACACAAAGCCACTGTTGAGTCGGTGAGCAGCTAAAGCTGCGTTGCATAGCCCAGGGCTGCTGCAAGCAAAAGATTCCCAGGTCACGCATTGGTCGTCTTCCTTCCTACGGCTGGGTCCCAATCCAGAGCTTCCCCCGGAGGCTTGCTTGGACCAACTCACCTGAAAGGGTCGTCTTGTTTACAACCGCTTCTGAAAAGGCTCGCTTGAATGCCATCCTCAGCAAGCCTGCCATGTTTCGTTTGACTCTGCGCAGTCCCGACATGTCCCGAAAAGAATGACTGTTGCCAGCAACGGAGTTGTCGCGAATTGGGAAATTCGTTCAGACGGAAGAGGTCAGGGCCCAATCCAGCTGCTCAATCTTCATCTTGTATTCACACGCGTACATGCTGATTGACGCGGGAGGGGGTTTGGCGCATCTTGTATTCAACTAAGGCTCGCATCCATCGGCTCCTCGATGACTTAAAGAAGGAGACCTGATTCAAGCGACACGATGCTATGCCTATGAAATGCGGGTCGGTTTGGATAAGAAACTCCATGTTTGAAAGCTATGTGCCGTGACTTGTGGTTAAAGTGGTGCTGAGTTCCCATACCAACATGCCTATAAAACCGCTGCCGAGCCGCCGCTGCGAGAGGGCGGGCCAACTCCAAAACTCCCCACCCACATGAGGCTGGTACAAGCCCAGGTGACTTCCTATCTCCAGTACCGCCCCGGCAGCCTGCGTAAGCACTCAAACCATTTTTCTTTGCCCAACCTGAACAGCATTGCTCTTGAAGCAGCTCAGCAGCTCCAGCACTACCCAAACCCAGCCATTTTTTTCGAGTAACAGAGGCGGGGAACAGCCCAACTTGTCAGGCCTGGCCAGCCAACAGCAAAGAATGCCAACCTTCACCGCTAAGCATGTGATGTGTGGGGCTTGTCACCTTGAATCTGTCTTGGCCCGCACGAAGAACATCGTGGGGGCTGTAGCTCCGTAGATGCGCCCTATAAGACACAGCCTATGCTGTCAGCTGTCAGGATGTCGCGGGCACCAAGCCAGTGGAAGAGCTGTGTCGCAGGCGGCAAGAGATCCTCCAAATTAGCAGAGCGGATCAGAGCGGCAAGCCTTGCAGCCAGGTTGGAGGAGGTTGGAGGGGACATCAGTGACTTGAAGCCGTGATCTCAGATGGGAGCTTCAATCGGCAGCGCCTGCAGCTTGAGGCAAAACACGCACTTTCTGAATTCCAGAGGTTCTTCGTCCAACAGAACTTCACGGGCTTCAGAAAGGTGTTGAAGAAATATGAGAAGCTGCAAAGCCGCAATTGAGCTGTTGATTTGACCAAGTTCTGCCTGAGCCATGGTGACAGGAATTCTCAGGTGTTGTCCCGTGTCATGTATCAGAGGTCGAGCAAGAAATTCATCATGCAGTGGTTCATGACGCAGGTATTGCTGCATCTGCATTCCAAAGTATCAGCGCTTGACAGTCCTAAGCAGGTGGCCAAAGCCCCTCTCATGGCAATTGACTTTGTCAGTGCCCAATTCAAAGCTTTGCTTCATCGCCCTCCTGCAAAATGCTGCCATCATGAGGATAACATGCTGGGAAAGTATGGTGACATCGCCCAGATGCTACGCAAGAAGGCACCCGGCTGGCAGAGCACAAAAGGGGTGACATCGTCTTGTTCGCATGAGAGACTTCCGCAGCTTTGCAGGGGGCATCCCCGCTGCAGCCCCAGAGCAAGCAAACCTAATGTGGTCTGCTGGAGTATGAAAAGCTGGGATAGGCCGTGAAGCGACTGTGGGCATTGCAGCGTCTTTCGAGGTACAGTGACGTGAGGCATAGTTTTTCTGGCGCAGATGACAAGACTGGTGCTAGCCACAGGGTAGTGTTCAAGCTGTTACTGCCCGTGAGAAGGGAAGTTGCTGCAAGGTCGTCCAGGGGCTGTACTTGAGAGCACATACCTGCTTGAAGCAAAGGCTTCCAGTTTGACATGGCTGCAAGCGCCTAGTGATTTTTGAGAAAGATGGGCAGCGAGTGGCAAATTTGCTTGTCCAGTCTGCGATGAAATTTCGCGTGAAGCTTGCGGCCTTCATGGTTCCAAAGAGCGTCGCCGAGGACGTGATGACACTTCAAGCAGTGTACGAGAGTTAAGCTACCCGGCGCAGGATGTGCCTGCTCTTGGTGCTGGGTCGAAAGCGTGAGTATCCGAGTGCCCAAAGTAGCAGCCCACCAAATGCGGTGCGTTGCTACGGCACCCCAGCCGAGGCCACGACCGAAGACCACGTCTGTCTTCCTTGATACGCCAGACTTGAAGGCATGAGAAGTGAGCCATCCAGCCACGCCAGTTTTTGGTGCCTTGGTAGGTGTACCACGATGTGCTGGAGTCCAACCAGAATATGGCGTGCTTCCCTCACTTTCAGAAATGTCTTGATAGCCACATGCCGCTTTGATTTGTTAGCCTAGGCCAGGAGCTGCGCTGCACCTGCGAAGAAGCGAGCCCAATCAGGTCGCATGCGTCGTATACCAGGCGGATAGCATTGGAGGAAGGTGTTCCTTAAATGCAGAGCAACTCCAGGCGGGGGCCAAGAAGCGAACTGAAGTCCTTATCAGGCCGTGCACGGTTGTTCCTGGGGTCTCCATCAATGAATCAAGCAGACTCATGGTCGAACTCCAGGAGTGACGAGGTGTCAAAACTGTTGAAGGGGCAGGCACGGCTTTTGGGTGGTAGCTTGGGCTCTCCTCCGATGTTCAATATACAGCTTGCACATGTTTGCACTTTTCTTTTTGTATTACGCTTCTTCTTCCTATTGCTGCTGTTGCTGGTGGTTGTGAACACATGTTGTAGTTATTGTTGTTGGTCGTGTTGATTGTGGTGGTTGCGGTGCTCATCTTGTTGATGGTGGTCTTGGTGGCACTGATGGTGCTGCTCTTGCTCATGTTCTTGTTGTCACTTGCGGTGGCGGTGTCAGTGCTAGTGCTGATGCCTCCTTGCTGCTATTGGTGTGCTTGTTGCTGCTGCAGTGGTGGCAGTTTTTGGCGTTGTCTTTGACGGTGTCAGTGAATATGTCAGTTGAGGCTGTTGGTGCTGCTCCTACTCTGTTGTTGGTCCTGACGGTTGTTATGCTTCTGTCACTGTCAGAGTCGTTGCGGGCTGCTGCTGCCGGCCATGTCTGCTTTGCTTTTTTTCCTCTTACATTTCTATGCGGGCGATTGCGTTGATACGTTTTGCTTTGAGGGGTTAGCTTTTCGTCAGCCCTGGAGGTTCCAAGCTCAATTCTGGATGCTCGGGCCATGGGCGCTCGCGCGGTAATCGGCAGTGCGTGGTGCTTACAGCTGAGGGGATCAGAGAGTTGAGAAGCAACGTTGCTTTGGCTTGTTTGTGTACATTTTCTCTGGACTTCATTGCAAACGCTACAGCGCGAGACCTCCTCTGCACCCTGCGTTGCAGAACATTACTTGGCACTTGGCAGGACTTTGGGTAGAGGTTTTGGGGCGAAGGGGGCCTGGAGGGAGGCTGGCTGGTTCATGTTCGTTGCAGACGCCTGTTGGTTGGAGGTGCATCCCTTCCTCCGAGATCTCCGGGATTCGAAACATGTTGATAGCAGCAAGTTTGTCCCACTAGCCTCAGAAGCTAATGTAAGCAATGTGAACCAACAAAACTAGACCTTCATCTCGACCTGTGAGTTTTGCAGCATCCTGCTTCCTTTGCAATTGAAGCTCGAATGAGAGGCATTCTCCCAAATAAGGCTTTCCTGGAAACGTTGTTATGGCTAGGGTCTCATTGTTTGTGGAAGTGCTTGGTTGCCCCTGGCGCGAAGTGTAAATCACGAAAGCTCCCCGTGTGGG